CTAGATTAATAAATAGGAAATCTTTAAAAAAAAAAAAAAAGAAAAGAAAAAAGGAAGGAAGGAAAGAAGGAAGGAAGGAAAAAAGGAAGGAAGGAAGGAAGGAAGGAAGGAAGGAAGGAAGGAAGGAAGGAAGGAAGAAGAAAAAGAAAAGAATAAAAATTAGATGGGAAAAATGATTCATGGGTAAGAGCTCTCACTACACAAGGATAAGTATGAAGTTCAAATCCTCAGCAACGTAAGAAGCCATGTGCAACCCATGTGGGCCTACAACCCAGAGCCTGGTGTGCAGAGACAGGAGGATCTTTGTGGCTTGAGGCCTGCCAGAATATCTGGGAAATGGAAAACTCTAGGTTCAATGAGAGAGAATGTCTTACAGGATTAAGGTGGAGAGTGACAGGACACTTGGCATCATCCTCTGGTCTCCACATATGTACATGAACACACATGCATTATGTACAGACACATGCATTTTGTACACATACATGCATTATATACACACACACATATACACACACATACATACCTACTCACACACACACACTTGCCGTATCTCAAAATTGTCTGGGATTTTCTTCAGAATTCTGCCCATGTTGGGTCTCCTCAGCAGCCCATTGCTTCAGCCTGACTCTAATTTACTTCAGGTCAACATAACAAGAGTGAGCCCCTCAGTGTTCATGCCTAGCTTCAACTTCCTGCCCTTGGGAACCCTGCTTACCTTTCCTCCCACGCACTCAGAGGCCATGTCAATCAGCTGAGTGAAGTCCAGAAATCTGGTCAGTTTTCCCTCCTTTGGAATATCAGTCATGCTTCCTAGAAGTGAGAAAGGCAGGCCCCAGTCAGAAAGGAGCTGTATGGGTAAGAAGAGCTCTGAAACCATGGCTGGAGGCCCTTGGAGGTGAGGGAGTGAAGGACGGGACTACTTGTCACCTTGGAGACACCTCAGCAACCCAAACAGACCGGAAATGAGAGACAAGAATAAGCCACCACTTAACACACAGATCCCAGTCACAACCACACAAGGCCAGGTTGTGTCTTAATTACTGTCATCATCACCGTCCCATTGCTGTGAAGAGACACCATGGCTAACGTAACTCTGGTAAAAGAAAATACTTAATTGGGGCTGGCTTACAGTTTCAGAGATTTAGTCAATTATCATCATGATTGAGAACATGGTAGCATGCAGGCAGACTGGAGAAGTAGCTGAGAGTCCTACATCTGGATCCACAGGAAGCAGGAAGAGAAAGACACTGGGCCCGGCATGGGCTTTTGAAACCTCAAAGCCCACCTCCAGTGACACACTTCCTTCAACAAGGCCACACCTCCTAATCCTTCCCAAGTAGTGCCACTCCTTGGTGACTAAGCATTCGAATCTATGAGCCTATTGGGGGCATTCTCAATCACAACAATTACTGGAAACATTAGTTTTAAAAAGAACAATTTGCAGAGCTTGGGAGACAGCTCAGAGGTTAAGAGCACTGGCTGCTCTTTCAGAGGACCCAGGTTTGATTTCCAGCACCCACATGGCAGCTCACAATTGTCTGTGACTCCAAGATCTGACACCCTCACACAGACATGCATGCAGACAGGACACCAATGCATATAAAATAAAAACAAATAAATTATTTACAAATAGAAATGTTAGTTGGGTGGGGTGGCACATGCCTTTTAATCCCAGCAGCACTTGAGAGGCAGAGGCAGGCCTGGTCTACAGAGTCAGTTCCAGGACAGGCTCCAAGACAACACAGAGAAACCCTGCCTGAAAATATCAAAAAAAAAAAAAAAAGTTTTTGTTTTTTTAAAAAGAACTTGATTTTTATTGTCTTTGTCTTTGGGTGCGTTCTAATAATGCCCCTAAAGCAACCACCTGGACAGGCACAAGCCCTCCACAGTCAGGCAGAAGCTGGCATAGTGAGACGCCAGGCCACAGACATGATGTCACCAGGCAAACAAGGGCCCTAACCCGCCTCTCGTTTTGAGGTTGAGGAGGCAGAGAGATGGAGAAGATCCAGAGCAGTCCAGGGCCTCCCTGGCTCTAAACTAAGTGGAAGTCTTCATGCTTCCGCTTCTCTACTCCTCGTGAGAACAGATAAACCCATCCAAAAACCGACATATTAGCAGGTTTGTACCATGCTGGCCACAGTAGAACACCTGACAGAAACCCTGTAAGGTCGGGTTTGACTCAAGGGTTCCCTCAGGCTAAGGCGCAGAAGCATGTGACAGAGGATTATGTCACGATGACTCAAGGTGCACAAAACTGTGAAGGAAGTGGGGAGTAACAGGCCCCCAAGGACCCCCCTCCCAGTGTCCTACTTCCCTCTAGCTAGGCTCCACACCCCAAAGTCTCCCAAACCCCACAAGGTGACACTACAGCTGCGGACCGAGCCATCAAAGCATGAAGCTTCGGGGACATTTCACGTCCAAACTGCGTGTGAGAGTTCGTCCTGCGTCAGTCACAGAAGGGAAACCAGCAGGTGCGAGGCCAGCTCTCCCTTGAGGTTACAAAAGCAGGCTTAGTATGAAGCAGCCTTTCCCAGGGGCACACACATATCCAAGACACGGGCACTCCTAACACTGCAAGAGGCTACAGGACTCTGGGAGCAAGAGACTTGCCGTGCAAGCCTGAGGACCTCGGTTCAATCCCTGGAGCCCAAATTTAAGACAAATTAATAAATAAAAGTTGGGCATGGTGGCCCAAGCGTATCTCAGCACTGGAAAAGCAGGGAGAGACGGGTCCCTGGGGCTCATCAGACAGCCAGCCCAGCAGAATCTGTGAGCTCCAGACCCATGAGAGGTACTGTCTCAAAATAAATAATAATGGAGATGGACACCCATGGTTGACATGCACCCAGCAGTCAAGAGACCAAGGCAGAAAGATGACTGTAAGCTCAAACCTGGTTGGGCTGTATCATTAGTTCAAAGCAACCAAGGCGAAAACATGAGACCCTAAGGACAAACTGCCACCACAAAACTATTGAGAAGCCACTCAGAAATATTAGGGAGCACCATGCAGCTCTGTAGCTAGTGCCCTCAGCGAACATACCCTTTCCCACCCTGGTCCAGAGCACAGGCAACACACAGGGTCAAAGCACAGCCCAGTTCAACACACCTTGTTATGCTGGATGAGACATGAGATGCATGTCTGTGTGCATATATACCTGTGCATATGCACATGTGTGCACGTGTCTACATGGATGTGCGTGCATGCTTATTTGGGTGTATACATGGGCATGTGTGCATACGTGTACGTGCTTGTGCATAAACACAGAGAGAAACACCTCCCAAGCGGCCACAGAGATTCTCAAGGCAATTATGAAAAGATTTTTTTTTAATATTTATTTATTTGTTATGTATACAATATTCTGTCTGTGTGTATGTCTGCAGGTCAGAAGCGGGCACTAGACCTCATTACAGATGGTTGTGAGCCACTATGTGGTTGCCAGGAATTGAACTCAGGACCTTTGGAAGAGCAGGCAATGCTCTTAACCACTGAGCCATCTCTCCAGCTCCAAAAAGCTGTTTTAAAAGGGCAGAAATAAATTAAACTGGGGAAGAAATTTCCTCTCTCCTTAGCCTCTCCACGATTCATCATCTGCTCACCTACACCAGCCTATGAGTTTTGCTGGAGATTGGAAGCTGTAAAGAGACCTTTACAGCCACTTCTGGGAAATGTCAGCTCTCCATCACTCTCCTGGCATAGCTCCATTTGCGGTGGAAATCCTGCTTCTCGTGCATATTCAAAACGAGTCACATGGAGAGAAAGCAAAGCATAAAGGGGACCAGAGACAGTGTTGTTAGGAAACACTTGCCTGGTGCACACAAAGCCCCGGGTTCAACCCCCAGCACCACATAAATCAAGCTTATAAACCTGTTGTCCATGCAGAAATAGGAGGATCAGGAGCTATTCTCTACTCCATAGTACCTTTAAGGCCAGCCTGGGCTACATAGGCTCTTAAGCCAAAAAAGTAAAAGAGGAAAAACAAACAGGCCCTTGTAAAATTTTCCAGTGGTTCCCCTGTGAAGGGAAGTTTCAAAAGAATATTCAACTCTGCCAGGTGGTAGTGGCTCACGCCTTTAATCCCAGCACTCAGGAGGCAGAGGCAGGCAGATCTCTGTGAGTTTAAGCCCAGCCTGGCCTACAGAGTGAGTTTCAGGACAGGCTCCAAAGCTACACAGAGAAACCCTACCTCAAGTGAAAAATGGTAGAGGAGGAGGAGAAGGAGGAGGAGAAAGAGGAAGAGGAGGAGGAGGAGGAGGAAGAGGAGGAGGAGAAGAAGGAGAAGGAAAGTAAAAAAAACCCTCCAACACAGGACACCTTTGACCATGCCAAACCTGTGGGAAGGAACATTCCAGGCACAGACCGAAGGTGAACTTGAGTCTTAAGTCGGAGAGGTGCACACTGAAGACCTGTGCGTCTTCTCACAACCAAGACTGTTCCCTGGAACACTTTTTAGCTGGGAAAGAACTGTCAGCTGTGCACTGTAGTTTATAATTTTTTAAAAAATGCTTCAAGATCCCCAGCAGCAGTAGGCAGCAGAAATGCTGTAGGTCCCAGTTGGTGGTAGCCGGCCATGTGGCGGCAGACAGCGGGCCCTGGGAGCAGCCAGTCCCAGGCAGAAATGGCTGCCGGTCCCCGAGCAGTGGCTGGTCCCAGGCAGGGAGACACCTGGCAGGCAGGCAGGAGACAGAGGCATGGATAGACACGACTTGCAGAGTGAGGTTGAATATTTATTCAGGTGGTTATGAAGGGGGAAGGGAGAAAGGGAGAGAGAGAGAGAGAGAGAGAGAGAGAGAGAGAGAGAGAGAGAGAGAGAGAGAGAGAGAGAGGAGAAAGAGACAGAGAAGGGGGAAGCAGAGAAGTGGGGAGAGAGGCAGAAGCGAAGCCTTCGAGGCTTAGGGAACTTCATGGGAGAAGAGGAAAGAAGAAAAGAACAAGAGAAAGGAGTGACATGGCACTCCCTCTGCGTCTGTCTCTAACCCTTGTACAGGACTGGGCACATCAGCATTCTACCATGAAATGGAGGTGGCTTGTGAGGTCCCATCCTTCTCTGGGGTTCTATTAGGCGGTCAGCTCATCATTTCTGGAGCAGTGAGACACATTTCCTTCAGTGGTGTAATTTACTGGTATGTGGCCATCCTCCTGGAAATAACCTCCTACAAAGTTCACTGGGACACACACACACAAAGAATACACAGAGCAAGGTGGGCTGGTGGGCATTGGGATTGGCAGACTGAGAAGCAATACCCCCCTCCCCAGCTCTGTCATTATACAGGTGGGGAAATGGAAGCCCAAAACAGTGAGATGACCACTGCACACTTTCTCAGGTGACAGAGCCAGGTGTCTTGCCACGAGAGAACAAGGAGAGCTGCTGAGGTTCCAGGAATGTTCCGGGCCTGAAGAACTGAAGGCGTGGTCTGAAAAGCATCTCGCAGGAGTCCTCTCCTGGCTAGGCCACCAGGTGGCGCTAGTCACTGCAACATTCCTGGATCCACCAGGGACTCTGAGCTCAGGGTGAATCCAGTCATGAGAGAGCTTCGGGGATCCACAGAACTCTGTGAGAGTGAAGAACGCTGTGTCCTTTGAATCCTGCATTCATGCACTTCTTTTCTTTCCTTTCAAATGGTAACATTTCACACAAAGCTAGAGAAGACAATGCACCACGCAATCGCCAGCCCCCTGCACCCTAAACCACAGTCACAGACTGCATGTTATTGCCACCAGAAAGATCTTCCTCTCTACTGTCCTCTAGCCACACACGTGCTGCGGAGGACACCGTGTTTCCAGTCACTAACCTGTCAATAGTCTATTGTGTGTCTACTGTGGGCCTACAACACACAGGCGCCTGCACAGAGCAATGAGGAGGGTCCTAGAATAAATTAAACTATCTTACCTTCCAAGTTTGCGCAGGGAGCAGACAACCTCTCCAGCTAGTTGGGGGCTGTAATGTGGGCAGTGAGGAAGGTGTGGAAGTGAATTGTCCTGGCACCCAGCAGAAGCCTACTACATCTCTTAGGGGGACAGGGAAGACAGGTGGGGGACAGGGAAGACAGGTGGGGGACGGGGCTGACCTTCACTCTGTGCCTTTGTGCCTGTTCACGCTGGTCTGCATTCTCCTTGTTAAACGGACAAGCTGGTAGCTGAGTAAGACCTGCACTTACACCTCCCACCTTCACAGAGGGAAGGGAGGGAAGCCAGGAGCATCGCAAGAACTTGGTAATAAGAGGCATATCACAGAGCCTGGAGCTTGCACTAAGTCTCCATCATAGCGGTCAATGGGACATCCACAGTGTCCACTCCCTGATCCCACTGCTTTCTGACAGGGCAGAGGGGAGTCACAGGTGTGATTTAGGACACCAGTTTTAAGAACCAAAGCTCTGAGTCACACCTAAGAAGAAAGAAGGACCCTATTGTCCTGGTTGGCTCAGAGAGACAAGGTCCATGTGCAAGAGCCCTGGGGGGGGGGGTCTGCGAAGACCAGAAAAGCTCCTGACGATGGCCAGCTGGAAGCCAGGACTTCAGTTCCTCCTCCCAAACCCTCCTAGCGAAAGCACAGCTAACACAGCCTTGCGGTAAGCAGAGCAGCGCAATGGCTGAACCTGCCTGGACTTGCTTATGTTCAGACATGAGTTATGGGGGGGGGGGGTCCTGGCCTGCCCGGATGGCTACATAAATATAACACAGAAACAGACGGGAGAGTGTGTGAACGGCAGCTGACGGGTAAGAACGGGGATGTGTTTATTCTCGGAAGCATGCTATACCTAAGGGGAAGTAAGAAAGAAGTGTGAAGACAGCAAGGAGGCAGTCACTTTCAAAGCTGCATATATTTTTTTATGAAATATTTATCTTTTTGTTGTTCTCTTATGATATTGGACTGAGCTAATAGTGGTTGGTTCATTTTTCAATTGACATTCTATTACAACATAGGCAAAGGTAAAGGTAGTTGCGGGGGACGGGATCTAACCCTGAGCACATCAAATAAAAAATAATAAAAGTCTGGTGTGGTGACACATGCCTTGAGTCCCAGCACTCAGGGGGCAGAGGCAAATAGATCTCTAAGTTAGAGGCTAGCCTGGTCTACAGCGCTAGTGATAGGATAGCCAGGGCTACACAGAGAAACCCAATCTTGGAGGGGAAAAAAGACTTTTCCCATTTATGTTTCATTTTCTTTTACCTCTGTCTGTACAGAATACTAAACAAACAAAAAAAAGATGTTAGGGACTTGTGACAAATATCTTCAAAGCTAACACCCACTCAGATCTCCCAACCAAAAAGAGCTGTCACCAAAGAAAAGACCTGCAGATATGCAGAGCTCCAGGTCTCTAGGAGAGATACCAAACTTTGTCAGCCCCCTCAGCCAAAAAGTCCTACCTTCACGTTGTCTCAGGAGCACTGGAGCCCCTGTGCCTGGACCCCAGGAAGAGAGCCATATCTTCACATTGTCTTAGGAGCACTGGGACCCTTCTGTGCCTGGACCCCAGGGAAAGAGCCTTATCTTCCAATTCAGGGTAGTACAGTCCCTCTGGTTGAGGGTTGGGCTGATCCAAGGCTTTCCCTGAGGCCCTGATGTCTAGAGAAGGAACACAGCCAGGTGTAGCCTGAGGACAGGGCTTTGGGGGAGCTGTTGCTTTAGACCCTGAGACCCAACTCTTTTCACTGTGCTGGACTATGGTGTCAGCCCCAGGCTGCTGTGTGCTCTGTCTGTGATGCTCCAGAGATAACCCGTATTTCCCTTGTGTGACGTCATTTGATTATTATCCTGCTGAGTTGGTCCCACCGTGTGACAGTTTCTACCGTCTCTGTCCCGTTTCTCCTCTGAGAATAGCATGGAAGATGCTGCACATCATAAGATCACTCAGCACTGTGAGACATAGCTTGTCCAAGCCTCCCGATCCCACACTCATCTGTCCCCTTCCTTCTGACCTGGTCCCCTCTCTTGGCACTGAAGAATGATCTGCTGGCCCAGGTCACACACTGTTCCCCCAAGAAGCTGGTTAAAAGTTATAAAAAGAGTTGTATTCCCCAGAGTTGCCACTGATAATTTGCCCTTGCTCAAGTAAATAATACACACATTCATACACAAACATTCACACACACACACTCACGAACTCATACACATACTCACACATATACATACACACACATGTACGTACACATAAACTTGGGGTGAACTTAAGAAGCGCATTGCACATTTGAGACAAAACTTGAACGGGCCTGAGGCAGAGCTCAGGAAGCCACGGCTGACAGAGGAGACCTCTGGCCATGGACCAGCAGGGCCTTGTAGGTGTAGTAGTGTACAGTTGTGACCCCAACACTCGGCAGGCTGCAGCAAGAGGCGCGTGAGTTCAAGACCAGCCTGCACTACTTGGTGAGTGTTTGTCTCTGCTCTGAGGTCAGGGGCATGTTAGTAAACGTTCCTATTCCACAGAAGCACCTTCAAGGAGGAAGGGTTTGCTTCATGATTTCGGGAGATTTTAGGCGTTTGTGAGGGAGAGAGGATGTTTGGCTATGGCCCCTGTCATCGAGGGCTTGTAGAAGCTCTCAGCAGCAAACAGGAGCACCAGGTTACAACCCTCAAATCCTTTCACTACATTCTGTATCCACCACCTAAACCCACATCCCAGGTTATACAACCTCTTAAAAAACAGTATGGCACATTTTGTGGAGAGACGGAGAGCGAACGGTCTTGCGCTGCCCGCCCGCTGGAGCCTCGGTCTAGGCACGGACCCGCAGCAGGAGCGGCCGTCTCTTCCTTCTCCTTCCTCCCGTGAGATTTTTTTGATCTTCAGCTACATTTCAGCTTTGTGAGAAACCTTATCAACAAAGAAGATGGCTAGCAACGTTACCAACAAGACAGATCCCCGATCCATGAATTCCCGTGTATTCATTGGGAATCTCAATACTCTGGTGGTCAAGAAGTCTGATGTGGAGGCAATCTTTTCAAAGTATGGCAAAATTGTGGGTTGCTCTGTGCATAAGGGCTTTGCCTTTGTCCAATATGTTAATGAAAGGAATGCCCGGGCAGCTGTAGCTGGAGAGGATGGCAGAATGATTGCTGGCCAGGTTTTAGATATTTATCTGGCTGCAGAGCCAAAAGTGAACCGAGGGAAAGCAGGTTTTAAACGATCTGCAGCGGAGATGTACGGTTCCTCATTTGATTCTGACTATGACTTTCAACGGGATTATTATAACAGGATGTACAGTTACCCAGCACGTGTTCCTCCTCCTCCTCCTATTGCTCGAGCGGTGGTGCCTTCTAGACGCCAACGTGTTTCTGGAAACACCTCTCGGAGGGGCAGAAGTGGATTCAATTCGAAGAGTGGACAACGGGGTTCTTCTTCCAAATCCGGAAAATTGAAAGGTGATGACCTTCAGGCCATTAAGAAGGAGCTGACTCAGATAAAACAAAAAGTGGATTCTCTGCTGGAAAGCCTGGGGAAAAAATTGGAAAAGAACAAAGCAAACAAGCAGTAGAGATGAAGAATGAGAAGTCGGAGGAGGAGCAGAGCAGCGCCTCTGTGAAGAAAGACGAGACGAACGTCAAGATGGAGTCTGAGGCTGGCGCAGATGACTCTGCCGTGGAGGGAGACCTGCTAGATGACGATGACAATGAGGATCGAGGGGATGATCAGCTGGAGCTGATCAAGGACGATGAAAAAGAAGCTGAGGAAGGAGAGGATGACAGAGACAGCGCCAATGGGGAGGATGACTCCTAAGCACATAGCGGAGTTTAGAGATCTTATCCTGTTATTCATTCACCTAGGCGCTTGTGAGAGATGGAAGTAACGCCAGATCCTCTCCCCTGGTGTCTTCAGCACAGTCTCACTGTTCGCGCTCTCCCTCTCCTGTGTTCATTGATTCATAATTGCCTTGCGCCTAGTTCCGTTCTCACTTCCTTTGATGCTCCTTAGTAGTTTTGTTAAGTCTTACCCTGTAAGTTTTGCTTTTAATTTTGATACCTCTTTGACTTACCAATAAAAAGATGTATGGTTTTTATCAACTGTCTCCAAAATAATCTCTTGTTATGCAGGGAGTACAGTTCTTCCCGTTCATATAATTTCAGTAGTTGCTTCCCTAACTGCAGAGACATCTCATTTACTTGTGATCCCTGAGAGCAGCTTTGCATTAGAGGTGTGTGTGTTTTCCCTCACTTGAGTGGGGCTGTTCAACACGAATGTAACCATGTATTTTTGTGAATAAGAGTTGGCATGTCGAATGCATCTTACAGGAAAATAGTGTAATAGTCTTAATATTTGTTTTCTAAAATTAATACCATGGGTTATTTTTGTGAACAGCCTGATGTTTGGGATCTTTTTCTCAAAATAAACAATTCCTTATTAAACCAGGAAAAAAAAACAGTATGGCAAGCTGGGACATGTATTCAGATGAAGGACCCTGGGGTGGGGGCAGTCTGTTCAAACCATAGCATTAGGCCGGCTTCACTATGAGACCAGTAGTGAGGTGGTGGTGGTGGTGCTGGTTGTGGTGGTGCTGGTGGTGGTGGTGCTGGTGGTGGTGGTGCTGGTGGTGGTGGTGGTTTTGAAACAGAGTCCTAATGTGTACCCTCAGCTGGTCTGGAACTCACTTTGCAGACTAGCTGGCCATGAACTCACAGAGATCCACCTGCCTCTGGCTCCTGAGGGCTGTAATTAAAGGTGTGCACCACTAGGGCTGGCCCTTGTTTAGATGTGTTAAGTCACATGACTTAAATTCCAGTAGAACAAAACCAAAGCCAGAATATAAAGTCTCCCTCAGCACCCCTCAGCTGCGCCCTGGGACTGCGTACTGATAATAGCACCGAGGGCCACCTCCCTATTTGGCCCTCCTCAAGGGTCTCATGTTCTTGGAGACCAAACTTCATGCCTTCTCCCATCTCATTCCCTTGGCAGTACCAATGTTAGACATAACAAATTATTCAACATGATAAACAGCTCTCCAGGCTCACCCAAGAGTCCAGATCCTAGTGTTCAGGATTGGGTTTCATGCTCCCCACAATCCAGTGCCTTGAACTGTTAACGCCAGCAACAGAAGAATTTAGAGAGGCCAGAGAGAACCTTCCAGATGGCAAGCCTATGTGATGTCACAAGGGCTATGGGAAATAGACCTGAGGAAGCAGCCTATCCCTGGTGAGACCAAGGGATGATGGCTAGAGGCCTGTTCCCTCTGCACTTGTAACCCTACTGACCTCAGGGCCTTCAGCCAGTACTACCCCCTCCCTCCCTGACCGCTCAAATCCTCACCTTCCCACCCAGCTATAGTCTTGAATTTACATCATAGCTCTTCAAGGCATCCGTTTGTTTCTTCAGCAAACACAGGGATACTTTGCAATGACGCCTGACATGCTAGAAAAGACAGGGGCAGTTGAGGGGATTTGTTATCAACCAAGGACCCATTGCCCAAGAAAAGGGACGTGTGCGCGTAATTTTACTGTCATATGAAGAGCTGCTTGGGCCTTTGAGGGGAATATCCATCCACATGGCGTTCTGCGTTGCCTTGTGCAGCCCTGCTCAGTGCATCCCTGCAGAGTCCACCATCCAGAGAGGAGTCATTGAGGGAGGAGGGTACCTGGATGGCTGCTCAGTCTCCCCGCAACCCCATGCAGACTAGAAACTGAGACCCAGAGAAAGAAGAGCCTGTGAAGATTCAGGAGCCAACTATATCCCAGAATACTCCATCCCATAAGCCCTCCTTCCCTCCCTTGACTTCCTTTTCAGGCGCCCGCCTGCCCTTCCCCACACCTGCACCCAATTTGAATTAGTCAGGATTCTCTAAGGAACAGAACTAGTGGGATGAATACATAATATATTAAGAGGGGATTTATTAGATTGGCTCACACGATACGGTCTGGGTAGTTTAATAATGGCTGTCTCACACCAGAGAGGCTGAGAACCTAGAGGTTGCTCAGTTCATGAGGCTGGGTGACTCAGCAGTCCCTCTCTGGTGCCCAAGGCCTGGAGGATTCCTGGAGAGTTAACCTGAAGGAGCTGGTTCAGCTACCAGTGACAGCAGCAGCCCCAGCAAAAGCAGCCAAGTTTACCAACAGGAATGAAGTCAGAGCCAGCCAGAGCTCAGCAAGGGCTGCCCATGCTTATGGTAGGCTTTCCCACAACAATTAAGGCACTCAAGACAATCACCCTAGGGACGTGACCAGGGAGCACCCTGTTGTAAACATTCCTTCAGTGACACCAGCTCCCGGGGTAATTGTAGACTGTGTCAAGAAGTTGACACGGACAGCAAACCATCACAATGACTTTGAAGAAAGTTGAGGCCAGTTCAGGAACCTGCCCATGCTCACTCAACTCATGAGTTTCTCTGCACTCAGCTCCTCCTATGGCCTTCAGGTTCCACGTGCCGCTGTCTCCCTTTGCAGGCAAAATTCACGGGAGCTCCAGAGTTTATGCGGCAGGCTGGTACTTTTAATAAACTCTCGTGTGACTTTACGACTTGATTCTCCAGGTACCTGTGGTCTAGCACCCTCTTTCCCGCTATGTTAAGTCAGCTTCCAACCACTGTGACCAAATACTGGAAGTGACAACCAGAGAGAGAAGATTTGCATTGAGTCAGAGCTCCAGAAGTGTTTGTGCTTCGTGGGGGAAGGCACGACTCAGCAGGACAGAGAGAGCATGCCAGCCTGTACTCATAGGCCTTTGCCCTTTCCCCTTGCATTCCATTGAGGCCTTCATCTTATTGGATGGTGTCCCCCACATTCAGAGTGGGTCTCCCCCTTAGTCAGCCCTCCCCAGAAATGCTTTCACAGACATACTCGTGATGAACTTTTCTCTGTCAATATGGACCAGCACATCTCGCTGGCAGCCAAAGTGGCTTTCATTCAAAGCCTCAAATGTATCACCAAGCTGCAAGATACACAGAACAGCAGGGCCCATTTTTATCCTTTGGTTTCACCAAGCCTGAGTCCCAGTGTGCAGAAAACCATAGAAGAATGCTCAGAGCCAGAGAAGGCCACAGGGCTCTATAGTGCATACCAGAGCCGAATCCCATAGTCAAATATGCATTCATAGGATGGAACTACACTATACAGTAATATCCAAGGTGCTATAGCTGCTTGACTGGGGCCCACACTTTAGAATAGAGCCAGATTTGAAATAGGACCTAGAGCCACTCAGTGGGGTAGTCACTGGGCACTTACAATGGAATAGCTATCTAAAATTAAATATAGTTCAGTTAAAGTTAAAGGGAATTAATCCAAGTCCTGTCTCCTGAGCTGAACTTCATGGTAGGGGTCACATGTAGCCAATGGTCACGTGCTTAAGCACAGACTCTCCATCCTTCTCCATCTGCAGGGAGTAAGGGAGTAAAAAAGACAGGTTGATACAAGGAGTTCTGGGACCAGACTAGAGCAGTCATGGGACAGTCCCAGTGTCCCCTCTGTCGTCTCTCACTTTCCGGGAGACAAAGGTTCAACTGCCTGCATGGGAGAAGCAGGAGTCCTCGGGCAGGCCCCTCCCAATAACCACACAGCGCCGGCTGGAGGGGTCAAGCCTCTCACCGGGCAAGTAGAATGCTGGCAAAGGTCTCCTCTTCAAATTAGCAGCCTGTCACCTGTCCCACTATGGAGGCACCAGCTAACGGTCCCCTTCTACAGACTTCAGACTTAGAGAGAGCCTGGAGTCAGTGCTCAGGCCATATCCACCGCCATCCTTCTGGGGCCAGCTCTGAGATGCTAGTGATTTCCCAGATCCTGTTCCTGTGGCTAAGCAATTCTGGGAGCCTCCCCTTCCTCTGACAGTCTTATAAGCCTTCTGTGCTGCACATTTAACCCACCGTCATCCAGCATGACTGGGATGCAAAGCCAAAGTGAGCAGGCAAACCCCAAGAGGACCCAGGGCTGGGTGACTCTTCCTAACACCAGACCAAACAAGCAACTCCACCCTAGTCTAGTTCAGTAATCCAGCGAGTTCACTGTGTCCTTTACAGAGTATAGGTGAAGGGTTTCTCACAGGAGCATGAGTCAAAGGCCGCTGCATCCAGTGGTGCGGAAACTTACCCCAGCTGAAAGACAACCCATGAAGTGGCTTTCCTGGGGCTCTCAGCAAGACTTGCAGCAGCTCCAGTCAGCTAGAGAGTCTCTACTCCCCAGCAGTCAGAACTGCTTAAGAAAATTGGGGAGAGGGCTGTGAATCCTGTAAGCTTCAGGAGCTTCCTCAGACCTGTAAGTGGATTTTTTTGGTTTGTTTTGCTTTTCAGTTTTTGTGTGTGAGTGTTTTGCCTGGGTGTATGTTAAGTACACCATGCTTGTGCCTGGTGCCTGCAGATATCAGAGCCGCTGAAACTGGAGTCACAGGCATTTGTGAGCCACCGTGTGTGTGCTAGGAACTGAACCTAGGTAGTGGGCACTCTACAAGAGCAAGAGGTGTTCTTAATGACTGAGCCCTCTCTCCCGCCCCCAACTCGTGAGTTTTACTCAAGTGTTGAGCCCTGTGAGTTTCATTCATTTCCCTGGGGAGCCTCCCTCTAGGTAAGAATGTTTCAATATATAGAAAATAGCTACACAATACCAAGTGACCCCCAAACCCTGCATAGCTCCACTGCCTAAATTCTTGTGCCTGAATCTACAAAGAAGGGACTTCTAGATAAGAGAATATATGACAACAGCGTCACACCCAGACCAGGCTACGAAAATCTAAGACTTCCAGGACAGAGATTCGTCCCCAGCCCCTCACCCTTCTCACCTTCTCCTAATGATCACCTGAAGGTGAATGTCCAGGAAATGAGCTATGACCTATAGAATGGGCCATGCAGCCTGGATTCCAGTCTCCACAGTGAGCAATGTCCCTCTGCAAGGACAGTCAGCGTGACCCCTACAGGACATCACAAAGGTGACAGTGTGCAGTGTCTGGGGCTGGTGATAAAGTCATTGCTTCTGCTCCCTTCCCGTGTGTGGCAGGTTGCAATGATGGCCGTACAGCTCTATCGTCACCGCATCGAGGTGATTCTTTTGCATAGAATATTGCTCGATGACCCTATGCAGAGACAAGGCTCAGAGGCTGCAGAGATCCACATGCCAAGGCTCAGAGGCGGTCTCCTCACAACAGCAGCATCTGCACACAAGCAAGTTGACACGGAGGCTGACTGACTGGCCCTGGCCAAGGCTTCAGATCAGAACGCAGCCCTAGCTGAGCTCATGACTAATCTCAGGTGTGTCCCTGAACCAGAATCACCCAGCTTGGCTGCTCCAAATTCTCAAGTCATAGGAACTATCTGTGATAATAGATGTTGATCATGTGGTCTTGTGGCACATCTGAGCAGAGCTATTGCACATAGAGAAGCCTGGTGGGACATGAGGGTGGAACGTGTGAGGATTGCATGGACAGCTGCAGTCAGAGGTGTGAAGAAGA